CATGGGGTACTGGGGATATGTTCTGTCCTGGACATCATTTAGGGGAGGAGACAAACATGGGGTACTGGGGATCTGTTCTGTCCTGGACATCATGTAGGGAGACAAACATGGGGTACTGGGGACTTGTTCTATCCTGGAATTCCTGAAGGGAGACAAACATGGGGTACTGGGATTGGTCTATCCTGGAATTCCTGAAGGGAGACAAACATGGGGTACTGGGGATCTGTTCTGTCCTGGACATCATGTAGGGAGACAAACATGGGGTACTGGGGATCTGTTCTGTCCTGGACATCATGTAGGGAGACAAACATGGGGTACTGGGGATATGTTCTGTCCTGGACATCATGTAGGGAGACAAACATGGGGTACTGGGGATCTGTTCTGTCCTGGACATCATGTAGGGAGACAAACATGGGGTACTGGGGATATGTTCTGTCCTGGACATCATGTAGGGAGACAAACATGGGGTACTGGGGATCTGTTCTGTCCTGGACATCATGTAGGGAGACAAACATGGGGTACTGGGGATCTGTTCTGTCCTGGACATCATGTAGGGAGACAAACATGGGGTACTGTGGATATGTTCTGTCCTGGACATCATGTAGGGAGACAAACATGGGGTACTGTGGATATGTTCTGTCCTGGACATCATGTAGGGAGACAAACATGGGGTACTGGGATACTATGTTCTGTCCTGGACATCATGTAGGGAGACAAACATGGGGTACTGGGGATCTGTTCTGTCCTGGACATCATGTAGGGAGACAAACATGGGGTACTGGGGATATGTTCTGTCCTGGACATCATGTAGGGAGACAAACATGGGGTACTGGGGATATGTTCTGTCCTGGACATCATGTAGGGAGACAAACATGAGGTACTGGGGATCTGTTCTGTCCTGGACATCATGTAGGGAGACAAACATGGGGTACTGGGGACTGTTCTGTCCTGGACATCATGTAGGGAGACAAACATGGGGTACTGGGGACTTGGTCTGTCCTGGACATCATGTAGGGAGACAAACATAGGGTACTGGGGATATGTTCTGTCCTGGACATCATGTAGGGAGACAAACATGGGGTACTGGGGACTTGGTCTGTCCTGGAATTCCTGAAGGGAGACAAACATGGGGTACTGGGGATATCTTCTGTCCTGGACATCATGTAGGGAGACAAACATGGGGTACTGGGGATATGTTCTGTCCTGGACATCATGTAGGGAGACAAACATGGGGTACTGGGGATTGGTTCTGTCCTGGACATCATGTAGGGAGACAAACATGGGGTACTGGGGATATGTTCTGTCCTGGACATCATGTAGGGAGACAAACATGGGGTACTGGGGATATGTTCTGTCCTGGACATCATGTAGGGAGACAAACATGGGGTACTGGGGATCTGTTCTGTCCTGGACATCATGTAGGGAGACAAACATGGGGTACTGGGGATATGTTCTGTCCTGGACATCATGTAGGGAGACAAACATGGGGTACTGGGGATATGTTCTGTCCTGGACATCATGTAGGGAGACAAACATGGGGTACTGGGGACTTGTTCTGTCCTGGACATCATGTAGGGAGACAAACATGGGGTACTGGGGATATGTATGTTCTGTCCTCTACATCATGTAGAGAGACAAACATGGGGTACTGGGGATATGTATGTTCTGTCCTGGACATCATGTAGGGAGACAAACATGGGGTACTGGGGATATGTTCTGTCCTGGACATCATGTAGGGAGACAAACATGGGGTACTGGGGACTTGGTCTGTCCTGGAATTCCTGAAGGGAGACAAACATGGGGTACCGGGGACTTGGTCTGTCCTGGAATTCCTGAAGGGAGACAAACATGGGGTACTGGGGACTTGGACATCATGCAAAGGAGACAAACATGGGGTACTGGGGACTTGGTCTCTCCTGGAATTCCTGAAGGGAGACAAACATGGGGTACTGGGGATCTGTTCTGTCAAGGACATCATGTAGGGAGACAAACATGGGGTACTGGGGATCTGTTCTGTCCTGGACATCATGTAGGGAGACAAACATGGGGTACTGGGGGATTGGTCTGTCCTGGAATACCTGTAGGGAGACAAACATGGGGTACTGGGGACTTGGTCTCTCCTGGAATTCCTCTAAGGAGACCAGCAAGGGGATCTTGGCCTATTCTGGAATTCCTGTAGGGAGACAAACATGGGGTACTGGAGACTTGGTCTGTCCTGGAATTCCTGTAGGGAGACAAACATGGGGTACTGGAGACTTGGTCTGTCCTGGAATTCCTGTAGGGAGACAAACATGGGATACATGGGATCTGTTCTGCCCTGGTAAACATTGGGTACTGGTAATCAACTCTGTCCCTTAACCCCTGCACTTAGCTAGACCGAAGATGTAGTTGTATTCTGAAGTCTGACACCTCAAATGGTATATTCCGGTATGACGTTTGTTCAGTTAAAGATGTACACGAAGAGATGAAAGATTAGTGACGACCACGTGATGAAGAGAAGGTGGAGTACTTGTTCGGGTTCTATCCAAGAAAGATTGTTCCCCAGGTATTCAAATAAGTTTACATAAATAACTTTCAAATAAATAATATCTGATTTCGTAGACGTAACTGGATGTAAATTACAAAATCCTTTAAATCTGTCTGTCTCTCTATCCGTCTATTTGCATGTGCGGCCAAATGTATATTGTTATCCCACTGAGATCTTTTCTGGCGGTTTTCTGACTACGATTGGACCAGTACTCGATTATTGCTTTAATTGCGCCGGGTGGGCTAACGACAAGTACTGCTCTATCGCCTAACTCCTTCTTGGCATGACGTGGCCGGGGATCGAACACCGACCTTCTGATCTCCGACCTTCCACTGCATGAAACGAATAGCACTTGCGTCAGACAATGATAATCGTCGTATTTACAGTCCTCGGTGCCAAGGTACATTTCCATTAAAATAAAGTTGCAATAACAAATCGATCAAGGCTAATAGCTTAGGCATTTTATACTGATGCAATCACGTGTACATGTATAGACGGGTTTTTGTATTTCAACAATTGTCCACAAACATTGGATTCATTAGAAATGTTTCATTAGCAGGTACTCGTAACAGCAGGGCTCCAGGCAGTTGGCAGCATACGTGCATGCGGGTGATCCAACATCCTCGCCCCGAGGACGATCGATTCTACCAATGCTCTGTACCATACAAACCTGTCAGGTTAGCATCATCAGTAGCTATTCACAGTGGCATCTATGAAGCATGCAGAGGACAATAGTCGACGCGTGTCCACATATACTGAATTACAGTCTCCTTCACACCTCCTTCAATCAATGAAACAAAAGGTGGACGAAATTAAGAACTCACTTTCATTCCTTGAAGGCATTTTACCAAAGATTATGACCTGAACGAGTGCCATATTTCTCTTATTCATGTAAATGTCACTCAAACTTAATACAACCCCATTTTATATAGATAATGGATCGATTCTTAACGGACTTAGTGGTGGCTGAGGCAACCGGGAAGATGACAGATTGTTGTAAACTTCGATTCAGTGACTAGCACACTTGTTTCACATTGTTTGCTGTCTCTTGAGCTATTGTAATGTAAGTGAGTTCTTTCTTCACTGCACACAAAGGATAATGTCTGTCGATATGTTCAGTTGGTGATGGTAGGCTTTTGTCACGCTCTGCTGATAACATTAAACTTTCATCGTGCAGTACCCAACTTCTACAAGCATCCTGTTTATTCCCAGGCTGCATTAAACTGATATTAAATCAATATAGATCCACGACAACCAGACGTGGGAACACACAAGTATCGATTATAATCTGTCAGTACATCCAATGCGTTTTGCCCTCGCTACTGCAGCCGTGGCAACCATATTAACTTCCTAAATAAATTTGAGGTATTGGCATAAGGAAATGTGTGTATTGAGTGATTCCTCCTCAGTCAGGAAACCCGGAATTCTTTGGAACGTCTACATGTATGAATGAGTGAGTTTGCTGCTATCCCGCTTTTGGCAATGTTCTAGCAATATCACGGCGGGGTATACCAGAAATGGGCTTTACAAATTATACCCAAGTTGGGAATCGAACCTGGGTCTTCGGCGTGACGAACGAACTCTGAGCTACACCACCGCCCATTTAACGTGTGGAACGTTGGAAATAGTTTGGTTGTATTCCGCTTTTAGCAATATTCAAGCAATATTACGACAGGGATACCAGAAATTGGCTTTACAAATTTAATATTACCCAAGATGGGAATCGAACCCGAGTCTTCGGCGTAGCGAACTCTCTAACCACTGGGCTAACCACCACCCGTTTTATGTGTGGAACGTTGAGAACTTTAAAAGGTTACTTAGTTTAGCTATTAGTCACTGAACACTTACATGTATCTAATCAATCATTAATAGAACTTTGCCAGACTCAGTACTTTAGCCTAAAACAAAAACCTCAACCCCTCTTGTTGGAACAAATACTCGACATCTAGTTTCAAAGTCATAAACGTGTCCGTACATTACCATTACGACAGAATCAAATAAAAATTGAAATAATCGAACAGGGACATTACAGTCAACATAGATTATATTGATTGAGAAGGAAATATATATCTATTACCATGAAATGGCACCAGACTGTTTCACATCTAGAAACAGTTACTGTTTTGAAATTTAATACATTGAAACGTAACTTCAATATTTTGTATATGCATTCAGGTTCGATAGAAGAAACAATAGAATGTAACGTGCGAATCCTTCTCTATAACAAAGATCAACAAAATCATTACTATCCAGCATATGACATTCAGAAAATAGTCCGTGCTGAAATGAATCAATCCTAATGATCAGTTTCTAAATTTTTCCATATCAAGAACTGTATGCATATAATAAAATGTGTTATGTCATACATTCGCAATGATTTGCAATCACACAAAAACACAACGGTTCCGCTCAATGGCGTTGTCATGGCGGCACTCGTGTTGTGGGTGGCAGACGACAAGTCACTCAGCAGATGACATTGCTAAGGCAGACGACATCCATTGGAAAGCAACACAGCGTGAAATATCGATCAAATTTGTTTGGAACTTTCTTGGATGTTGCTTTTTGTTGTCAAGGTAGCATTTGGGTGATTATATACATCCCAAATTAATTATTGAGAACATTTCCTGATGCATGCCCCTTGATGTACAGTGAACATCGTCTTAAAGGAAAGACTCAACATTGAGTTGTATGTTTCCGTGCCATCAATGTGCCATTTCACGTGTGATGTTCCGCGAGAAATGATGATCGTTACGTGACACCGTGAATGCCTCGAAAATGAGAGCAGCGAGATGGGACGTCAAAGAAAAGGACAACTGAACATCGCATTTGTCTATTTCTAAAACAGATACATTGATTCCTATTTCGGACTTTTCATCTGTCCAAACACCTTTTGTATGGGACAGCAGAAAACCACTATTCGTCTGGACGAAATAGGAATTTTGAAGACTGATTATCACATATTGATACCACAATTATAGATGTTGTATATCTGTTGATGAATCTACTGTGTTGGTGATTGGACATTGTGGAGTGGTTACATCGACGTTATTGACATCTGAACAACACTGGATCATACGGACATACATTATATTGGCGACTGGTCCCTTGAGCAGATTTAGTCACCATGAGTGTCCAGGTATTAACGGACAGTGGTGTGAGCTCTGCGGCCAAGTCCGTGACTATATGTTGTGGCAGTCCCGACGAGGATGACAGGATGACCAACACGACGTACTTCTCTGAAGAAGGACCATTTGATTCCTCGGACGAGTATGACACAGATCTGGATCTACCGCTGCATGCCAGATCGCCGCCTCCTGGTAAATATTAAACATCTGAGGAATTTGTTCATAATTACAAAACGACAAGGTTCAGGGCACATTTTTTCCCTAAAGATTAATCTCACTGTCGAAATTGGAAATCAGATAGTCAGGATTTAATATGCATCAATCTAAATTAAATGGACCGACAAATATGTGATTTTCGATTTGAGTTGACAGCTTTGAAATTATCATTTGTTTGATGGCGAGACGAATGAATTCCTTTTGAATGTTATGTTCACAAAAGAACATTAAAACTATAATGAATTATCTAATTACATGTATCTTTATTGAGGCAAGGTACTTTTATGGATAACAGTTACAAACCATCAGTAAAAGTTGTCATCCATAAAAGTACCTTGCCTTAATTATTACTCACCATCTTCTAAAATGCCAGTCAAACAGATCAAACATGTGTCTCATTGGTCCGTCGCGGTACTGAAAAATATCTAATGTCAGCGAATCACCATGTTCTGTCATCATGACGTCATAATGCTTGATGTTGTCATTTGCTTGTCACGTCATAACTGACCCCGTGCGCATGTCTAGTAATCGAGTCGGATGTCATTCTAACGCACAAATAATGCATCGACAACAAGGCGTTTTATACTCGTGTAGTGTTACAGTCGTTGCATAAATTTAGTAGGGCGACAAACGAGTGATGGCTAATATACGAATGGATCTATTAAAGCATTGCGGACACAAGGTTTGTGTGGAAAATATAGTAAAATAGGCGTGCAATGCACATCTGATGACAAGCATTGTCGTCATATGTGACTAACTGGATGGAGTGGACTGGCCCGCTGACCTGGTTTGATGCCATGTTTCACCATTGCAAAGATTGATGCCAATGATGCCAGGCACTGGATTGTCTGGTCCAGGCTCGATTTTACAGACCGCGATATAGGTATACTGTTGTTGAGGGTAGTAACTATAATATGGGATTATTCGTTTCAGAAACACCAGACGAAGACAAACTGGACGTGATCTGTAGGAAGGTGTATCGGAGGGCATGCAGTCGCCAGACCCCTGCCAAGACGTACCCACAGCGCAGGATAGATGACGGGTTGGCCGAGAGGACCATGCATCTCAAGTACCGAACACTGGGTTGTAACGCCACGCGACCTCTGTCAGTTGCCCTGACGGTAAGTACACATATGTTAAGGCACATATTAAAATGTCCGCGGTGTAAAATGTATTTACATGTGTCTAACCGCCATCAATTTACTGAACGAGTTCGGTGTTACACCGCTTTTAATAGTAATCAAGCAATACTATACCTCGGTGGAGAATATCGCAAATTGGATACACACTTGAACACCTGGTTACCTTCCTCTGCCATCACATGAAACATGTTGCCATGTTGGAATAGATAAATACACCTGCAGCACTTACAACATATTGTGCCTCGTTATGATGATCTCAAGGCATATAATGTCTTTAAGTGACATTATTATCAGTTATGTCATCAATAGCGACAGGGGGCGGTTGGGGTAGCCAAGTAGTTAAAGCGTCCGCTCGTCACGCTGAAGACCGGGGTTTGATTCTCCACATGGGTACAATTTGTGAAGCCCATTTCTGGTGTAATCCGCCGTGACATTGCTGGAATATTGCTAAAAGCGGCGTAAAACCAAACTCACTTACTCGCTCAATTGCGATAGGATTGTCCTGAAAAAAACACCAGCTTCTTGTCCATATGTCGCATTAAAACAACAGAAGACGACGCTATTCGTGCATGGCATACTTGCTTCCTGTAGATTGGTTCCTTGTCGAATCAAGTGTTGAATGATCAAACCACGACATAATCGAAATAGTGAAACTTTAACAGAAATTCCTTCGGGAGTAAAGTCCCGTTTTACAGTAAACCCTCACTAATCAGCGCATGTATTTACATTTCCGAATTAACTAGGTGAATTGGAGTTCAAAGAGTTCTTACACGTACATAGCGACTTATGTGCACGTGCGTGTATCTGTTTATACTACTCGGGTTCTATAACGCTTGGTTTCTGAGATGCCATGGCTTAGTTTGAAATTGATACCTCACTCACACACAGTATACTCTCACCGACCCGAACTAGTTGCCTTTTCCACTTAATGCTGAGTGCAAGCCAGGGTAACTACAAGTATCACCATTCTTGCTGCCTGTAACTGCAACTTGTATCGACAGGTTCCATATATTTCCAGATTATAAATCGATTGTTTTCAGGCCACCATTATATAGTTTGAAGGAGATCACTAAAACAAATATTGTTACAAATGAAAATCACACCATCAATGTCTTGGACCTTCTTCCAGAACAACCTGCGTGTGGAACGCCTGGATCTCCAATACGCAGACATGAAGACTGAAGGCGTGAAGGACCTCGCCATGGCGCTCTCAGACAACATCACTGTGTCTTACTTGGTAGGTATTAAGGTGTGCGCTGTATGGCAGCCGTGTGCGGATGGTCATCTGTAAGCTAAACCTTTGATACGTCAGCACAAGAGAATAATCTGCTATTATAAAATTTGGCGTAAAGGGAAAATGGTAATGTAACTATGTGAATGAAACGTTATTCCCATTAGACTTCAAGTTCAGATGGACTTTGGATCATGGCAATTATGACCGTGTTACTGAAGGTTGGAGGAGTGATATTTAGATATACTCATCCCCAAAAGAAACGCAAACGTGACATTAAATTATATTTTTTTCAGAAATTAGTTTTAGGTTGTGATAATGTAACCATTATAACTCTACTTTGTGTAAGACCCGTGAATACTCGGGTTAGAATTGGCCTTCAGCAACCCACGCTTGTCGTAACGGACAACTACGGGATCGGGTGGTCAGACTGACTTGACTTGGTTGACACGTGTCATCGTATCGCAATTTTGTAGCTTAATGGTCGTGCTGTTGATCAGTCACTTATTTATTTATCAGCAAACTATGGTGGCTCATTCGAGCCACATTCGAGCCATCGCTTTATCGCCCAGAAACATCTAGGCGATATTGCGACAAAGCGATAGTACGACACGATATTGCGATATGTGAGCCACCATAGCAAACCAACTCTACGGAAGGTTTCGGATTACCACTGTAATACAAGATAGGTGCATCCGAGAACTTCATTTGCGGAACCGAACGGTCACAGCAAACGATTTTGTATGTGGTGTTCCTGGTTTGGAAAGCGAGACGGCACAAACGATTCGCAGACTTCGAGCCGGAAGACCCTATTTCGGCCCAGTGCTGAAACGACTCATGGACGTGGACCGGTTCAATGGTGCAAGAACGTTCGAGACTTGACTTCCGACATGTTGCGTTCAGTGACGAATCGCGGCTTCTGCTTCAGTGCCGTGACGGAAGATTACGTTTCGCCGAGAAATTTGTCTCTAAGGTTCACCGATGTGGTGATGGGAGTGTCATGTTGTTTGGTTCCATAATCTGCACAGCAATTTAACTGCCACTGGGTACAGAGCAAATCTTAAATATGCACATGGTTCCCGGCAGAGAGAGTTCCAGCAAGACAATGCCAGGCCTCACACAGTACATGCCACTACTCAATATGTTTAGAATGAGAGAACGAAGTGCTTCCATGGCCTTCCAAATCGCCAGACCACCACACCATCGAGCATTTGTGGGATGACCTCGGCCGACACGCTCTTGAACGTCATACGGCACCCATGACGTTAGATCAACTGCCGCAGGCATTGCGTGATAAACAGGCCAGAATTCCCCAAGGTCGAATGCCGAGACCGACCGAGTGAACTAAAAAGATTCAGAATTGCATACGTCATCACACTTTGAAGTTAGCAGAGTATATTCGTTAAAATACACATTTGCGTTTCCATGGATAATTCATGCAGCTTTTGCCTGAATGGTGTTATACTCGCAGGTATCAGTATTCTGTTCTGGTATCGTGACAAACATTAGCACACCCTTTCCATGTCAGTTGTTACATTTGCCTTTAAGTCTGCAATCGATGGGATCAGTCACTGTTCTTGTTGTGATGACAAAAACGCCAGTATCGGGTATTGTTGTCTCTTGTGCTGCTTCATTTGACACAAGTCAAAGCGCAGGAAATGATATCCATAATTCATATACCTTGTAGGAGTGTAAGAATACAGGGCGAGAACGAATCCAGTAAAGCCAACGTAACCTATTTAAATAACAGCAATGGCCTCCAACTCGATATACGAGCATAGATTGTTGTGATCGTTAAATGATAATAATAATGCTAATTTGTGCGCCTAGAATCCAACACGATGCTGCTCTCTGGCGTTACATTATTAATCTGACGGAATTGTACTTTCAAAGCAGCTTCCGTATAGGTCGGTACATCCGCTTCTCAGTTACCCATTTTAAACAGCTGGGTGGACTGAGTGCAATGTAGACGAAGTGCCTTGCCCAGGGACACAACACAGTATGACACCCAGGTTACAATGTTGGTGTATCCACCGGGATTCGAACCCGGGCCTTTGGCGTGAGAGGCAAGCATGCTAACCACTACACCACTACCTTTATTCCACAAGGGCTTATACCAAACACAACAACATTGTTTAATTGAAGAATTTGAAAACGTAATTCATATATTTGTGTGGCATAATACATATCGATATTTCAACTACTTATCATCAGCAGAAACATAAAGCTCCGTCAATGTCAAATTATACCTAAAACCTTGCGTATATATCTTCCTAAGTCGTTATTGTAGCTTTTAGAGTTCGTTATTATCCTCAGCCATCCCATAATATCGACACAATATCGACATATTGCATCATCGTGTATGTGTTATCTATAGGGTTAGTTTTATCTGTAAGTGGCGCTAATGAGCTTCCATAGACGTCTAATATATAATAATTCCATGTGTATAAAGTATCCGAAAGAATCCAAGCGTGTTACCCTTACCCTTAACTTTGCACAATGTTGTCTCTTTCAGAACCTTGGAAACAATGACATCGGCACAGACGGGACAAAGTGGATCGCATATCTGCTTCTGAAGAACAAGCTGATAAAACACCTGAATATAGAAGGTATGTTAAATCACACGTTATCTACATTTTTTGCATATATCAGTGATTGCTTGACAATCCCGGATTAAGAACATGACAAACACTTTTCGTGTAGCCATGCCAACTGTACATGTTGCATATCAGCATGAATGAGCAAATATTAATTGCGTTTTACTGTTCCTGATGATATTATGTCAAGGACACTCTCACAATGGACATCATTTACATTGGATGGTCACGAATATTAAACAAAGGAAATATCAATTCAGGCATAAAATCCATAGTGAACGTTTTGGTATATTGTTAATATTCCCTGTCTTGTACAGTCTGTTTGTTCCGATGTACTGCACTTTATTTTTTGTTTAGATTTCAATCGACATATATTCATACAAATGGATCGGGCATGAGATCATTTGAATTTCATGCCAGTGATATTTGCTGATTAGCATTAAGGATTTGTACATTTCAGGAAACAAACGCCTGTGATATTTGCTGGTTAGCATTAAGGATTAAAAAAAGGACATTTGATATTTGCTGGTTAGCATTAAGGATTAAAATTTGTAAATTTCAGGAAACAAACGCCTGTCATATTTGATGATTAGCATTAAGGATTTGTACGTTTCAGGAAACAAACTCACGGACAATGCCGCTCCTCACCTCGCTATGGTGCTTGAAGTAAGCCAACTGAATGTTTGAATGTGTGGGAGCAATAATGTCGCTTTGAGTGAGTGAGTGAGTTTAGTTTTACGCCGCTTTTTTGCAATATTCCAGCTATATAACAGCGGGGGACACCAGAAATGGGTTTCACACTTTGTGGGGGAATCGAACCCGGGTCTACGGCGTGACGAGCAAACGCTTTAACGACTAGGCTACCCCACCGCCCCATGTCGCTTTGAGCCGTACTTAAGTTTATTATGTCGTGTGAGCTTTCTAAGGGACTTTATGGTTGCTATTTAACTTTACTTAGCCCCAGTCCAACTACTTCACGGCGGTCTGTAAATGTTGCAGTCCAGAGAAAACAATGATTGACAACATGTGCTTCAGTATACGTAATTAATTTACAATGACATGCATCAACCAAGTCAACGATCCTGATCACCCAATTTCCTTGTCGCTTTCTTCGGCAAACAAGGGTTTCTGTTGATTTCCCAAAAGGATTATTGCGGAAGGGTCATATTAATGTTATGAACGTCGAATCACTTGATTGACACGCATGTGCAGGGCCAACTATCATGACTGCGATACAACTCATCACAGTGGGACGCAACTCATCATTGTTCGCCAAACACAGTTAATCATATGCCCGTTGTGCTAATTATTTTAGTGGAGTGGAATGATTGTAAATTTGTGAAAGCACTTTTACATAAACGAACTTAAAGTCAATGCATGTACATATTGCTTAATTAGGGTTTCATGTTACTGGGTAGCAGATGATTAGTCTGACAGGAATTTATGAGTTAACGGCACTCTTACATTTCAGCACAACACTAGTTTGAGTATTTTAGATCTAAGCCACAACGAATTCTGCGACAATGGAGCAAAGCTTCTAGCAGCAGCACTTGGTGAGTCCGTTGTTTATATCTCTCTCTTTACTTCTTGTAACGGTAACCACTTCTTGTAACGGTAGCCGGTTTAAAGGTAACATGATCCGCCCAGCAATATATTTAATACAAAATATTCGTCCTTGTCATCAGACCGTATCGAAGAAAACCGGAGACACAACTTTTCTTACTCCTGAAACGGCTTCAAGTAACGTGAAAATTTCCAGTATATTTGAGAGTTAACCTGTGTTCACATCGAGACTTAACAGCATTTGCAATACGGCCTCTTACTAAATGGTCATATTATAACGGTACATTTCTCAACGGTGTTCATTTCTAATCGCGAGGGTGATGGAAATAAGCTGTATGAGTTGATGAGTTGAGTTGATGATGTGAAGGAAGAGACACAATAGATTTTCATGCTATTAAATAAGAGATGATAGCAAACAGATAGGTGTGATAACTGTTTATCTGCATCTTCCAGGTCTCAACACAGGTTTGGAAACGTTTCGAATAAGCTGGAACCACGTCAGAGGAAAGGGAGCTGTGGCAATGTGTCAGAGTTTGAAGGTAGGTTTGTGTGAAGGTTGCATCTTGTAAGGAAGAGTTGGTCAAATAATCCTGCCCGAGTCATTTGCAATAAAACGTAAGAAATAAAATACTGCGGTAAATGTAGATGGTCCATGTCCTTACAGTAACATGTGTTACAGAACATAATAGTTGCTAGCATATATGCCTACTACCATATAATGACAAATCCCTGGAACAATATGTCAGCGTAATGAGCCATTCATCCTAGACATTTAGAAAACAGCAATATGATTGGTTCTCGGGAGACGAGAGGGTTCAGATCCCTACAGTGTCGTCTTAATTGGAAACACCGAATGTTTATGTCCTACATGAACTATTACTGTCGCGATTATTCAATTAGTCATACCGAAACAATTGTTACATACGACATCGTATACAATTGGGTGATCAGAAGACAATCATCAGGTCAAATGTGTACACTCAGCTGAGCTGACATTCAGAACTATAATAGTAACACCAGATTGTTTTTGATGCAATGATTTGAACATTTCATCATCAGTACAACGAAACCCTGAAGCTGTTCGACGTGTCCATGAATGGATTCGGGTACGAAGGTTCGGTCGCCATGGCAGAAGCTCTGAAGGTCAACACGACCCTTAGAGAGCTGGACATGTCCTCCAACAGGATCACATGGAATGGGGCCCTCATCATGTCAAGGGGTCTCAAGGATAATGTTGGCCTTGAGATACTCAGGGTAAGAGGTGAGGTGAGGTGAAATTGGATTTAACGTCGTGCATTGAGAATACTTAATGGCTCATATCATTAACGCGACAAATATTATCATCCGACATGTAACCGTTAGCTTTAGCTGGTTTGAGATGAAATATAACAAAGATATTTTTGAAGCGTCGTTTTTTACAAGAATGTTGAACTTTTATGTATGAATTCCAAATGTTTCAATTTTAATATTCAATAGTGTCAAACAAGGTTACTTTACATTGCAGTTTTCAACACCTTCTTTTGAAAAAAAGGTGATATATGTTACTCTGCTGACAGGTTGAATGTATCCGTAAATATTTTACCTAGGTTTCTAAATGGTTGAATGATTGAACTGGATTTATTCAGATGTGAGTCTATCTGACATGTGTCGTTATCGATCTTCACAGAAGGTGCTTTCTGTTTACAAGTCGTTTTCATCATGTAGCTTGGAAAGAACCCACTTTCGACTACTGGATGTATGGACATCACAGAGGCAATAACGTATCCTGACTCCAAAGTAAAGTTCCTGGATCTAACGGTAAACTTTGATTGGAAATGTGTGTTGGTTGGTAAAGCCGACATAGCAATATTCACACTACATAGTGACGGACTCAAATTCTGACGAGTGAGTGAGTGAGTGAGTTTGGTTTTACGCCTTTTAACAATATTCCAGCAATATCACAGCGGGGGACACCAGAAATGGGCTTAACACATTGTACCCATGTGGGGAATCGAACCCGGGTCTTCGGCGTGAAGAGCGAACGCCTTAACCACTAGGCTACTCCACCGCCCAAATTCTGACAAGACAATCCAGCGACTGTTATGTTCAGCATCAACAAAGGATGCCAACCCGACCCATAAGTCGAAGCAAGGGTATTACAAAGTCCAGCCCGTTATTCCCACAGCGCAAGTAATCTTGAAAAACTTAAACCGAATACATACACAGACATGTGTACTTCGAACAGTACAGATTAATGGGGCTTCACTGGCTCTTAATCACTGTACACACAAGTACATTTAAAACATATCGGTCAATGTCTATTTGTACATTGTTACTGGGGGATTCCCAATTTAAACTTGAACGTTAACCACGAAATCGGTCCCTGTACAGCTATTTGTGAAATCAGATAAGGATCAAACGATTGTATTAAGACACACACTTGTATGTTTACATGAAAGGTCAAATATAGCAGCAACAACTAACAGGGCTTATACTGACTGAGTTTTTGGTTTTACACCGCTTTTAGCAATATTCCAGCAACATCACGGCGGGGACACCAGAAAGGTCATGTGGGGATTCGAACCGGGTCTTCGGCGTGACGAGCCAACGCTTTAACCACTACTACCCCACCGCCTAACAGGGCTTATAGTATGTTGACCACTCAAAGATATCCAGAATGTTGTCACTATCGAGTGTCTCCATTCTTGAAAACAGAATGGTATTAGAACATTTCATTTCTGTCAACAGGGAGTCTCCATCATCGCCGAGAACGAGGTGTTAGCTGACGCTGTCAGAATGAGGAAGGGATTCCGGTTTCTCCACGGAGGGATAGTCATGACCCCAGATAAGTTTGGGGAGCGAAAAGGTTAGACAACACGATGATAACCAAGCCTTTTTCACCGTAATATACAGTAATACATGTATAAAACATCCTTGGTGTGGTTTATGTATTTAAATAAAGCTTCAATAGGAAACCGTTTGCATTACCATGTTCGAGGGGACAGTTGTTGGATGTTTAATTATAGGTTCTAATGAACGATATTCTTGATTTGTGTGTTTTGGCGTAATAGATTCCAAACGTTCTTCTAAAATACAGTACCACTACATAAAGTAGTAATAAGAAAGAGAGTAAGTAATAAATTGAATTTCATATACAGCAACATCCAAAACCCGAGGTCACTCGACTAAAAATATCATTTTTGAAATAACATTGATCGCGACAGCAGCACAATGACTACACATCGATTGCCCCGACGTTCTGTACACTTTTGATATTAGGGTATTGAATACAGGAGGTTTCACTGTAACATCAGTTGGCCCCAATTATAATGCGTTTCAGTTCTCTTTGTAGAGTTGCATCCCTTAGTTGCGTCACGATCCGCTGATAGTTGTGTTGGTTATTATTATCTTTGGGAGCCCCATTTCCGTGATTGTTCACTTTGGTGGAAAATGTTGGGTAATGATCACTCATTCCCAGTCAGGCAATGGTGATAACGATGCACTTATTGTGATTCGCAGCTCGGAAGAAGAGCCACATGGAGGTGTTGATGGAGTACATGAGAAAGACTTGCATCCGGCCAATGGAAATCATCCGAGACTACGACAAGTCGGTCAACTTCGAAGTAGCCCAAGACAACTTTGTCGACAGACTTGTGGTAAGATCATTTTCTGTCCACTATTCTGTATCCTACCACAACATGGCAAGGGTTTACAATGACATCCAATTCATGCCATACATTCATGTGCAGACAGATCAATAACATTGCCCCTATAACAGGGCCTGTAATAACAGGGCCTGTAAGTCTCGCGAGGCGCTACTTCCGGTACTAAGCTGGTTCCCGGCTCCGTTTACGCGCGTCAACTTGCGATATGTGAGACGGGGCCCAGCGTACTTCCGGTACCAAATTTCCGGTGACAAGCGTAATATATTCAAGAACAAGTTCTGGTTCCAAATTGCGCCATCGCCAAATATGACATTACTAGACCGGACCAAGTGTACATCCATGCTTGGCTGTCACAGCTGTTGGCAGTCGTAATAGTTGGCTAATTTGGGGATGGTTAGATCGGGAATTTGTTATTCCTGCAAGGATTGTCGGTTCCTTACTGTCAACTGACAACCATGAGACCATTCGAAAAGGTATGAAACATTGTCACCGGAAGTACCAAGGTCTCGCGAAGTATGGGTCCTATTCAACAATGTGCCATGGCAGCGAATGAGCTGTTGATGGCAGTCGTTTTCACGTTCATTTTCCACATTCGGATATTTTATCAACCGATTATTACTCCAGTCAAATGGGATCTGCTTGAATCACCATGTCCTAATTCTCACTTGCGTTTTGTAAGATAAAGTTAATGTTAATAATATAATGATATGCATCTTTCAGCGTGCGAATGTGCCTCTTCACAAGTTTGAGATGCGAGCATTAGCCAGGGCTATAACGGAAAATGAAAGCAGCGAAAATAAAGACAAGATCGACTACGTGTATGTATTTCTTCATCGGTTCTCTATTTGAATGGATATTATTAATATATAGTGTGTGATAGATATTTGTAGGGACTATTCGAGGTATCCTAGGTTCGATACATCCGAAACAACAAGGAATAAAGAAGGAATGCACGCTTGTACGCACAACACGCTTTCACTTCGAGACAATCGTACGATTGACACAATGGTGTTTGTGAGTGTGTATATATACTGAAGTGGATTATTCCTATAGCATAAAAATCAAAGACTTTAAAGACTGCTACTACTTCATCATTAACGGAACAAATGATTCTTAATCATTTTCCAATTTTTCAGGAAACTGATTGAGTCTGTCACTGAGCAAATACTGGAGGACAGAATCCGCATTAAAAGTGAAAAGCGCAAGATTCGAAAGACCAAACAGCACCACAAAAGGATTCTGGCAAGCGGACTGCCAGAGGTACTATATGACCGAGGTAATGGAACAGACAGCAAACAACGCACCTCCAGAACCAGCGGCTCGTCATCCATGAGTGCAATAAACTTCAGCCAACTTAATCTTGGCACCATGTCCTATACGTCTTTACCTAGTGTACCCGATGTCAACAAGAACATCCAATCCCTTGAGAGCTCATTGATCTTTGGGCCAAAGAAGACCGTAAATACGTCTGCTCCAAAACCAAAGGCGATATCAATGTGTGCGGATCTGGGTGATCAAGGGAAAAAGAAGAAGAAAAAGAAGTCCAAATCAGTTCGAAAAAAGAAGTCGAAGTCTAAAACACACGTAGAAACATGGATCTCGAAATCAAATTGATGCCATCAACAGCTACCTGAACTGGATTAACTAAGAAACGGAAATACAGAGTATTTACATTTGTATGCCCAAATGTGATATCGTTCCATGGATATCATAGCGCTATGAGCATACACTTTGTGTCTGGATTTGGCGCATTATAAATGTACTTATTATTATTTATTATTATATCCTATGGAAAACAGGGGTCACAGTTAATGCCCTATGGATCTCAAAAATGCATTTGGAACTTCTGAAAAATGTTCCTCGCTTACGTCGGCCAGCTTTAATGTAAGCGTATTGAACTTCTTATCTCAGTATTATTCCCTCGGCCTTTCGTAGCACAGTATTGAGATTATTTTTCTAGCTACAAGTATATCACTGCGGGATCAGACGGACAGGGTTACAGTGTAAGACGTTCGCAGATTGCATTTGGACACATTGCGATGTGTCACTTCGAATTCCGGATTGGATTCCATACCAGTCCCAGAATTTGAGCTACATCAGTAAAGTGTAATTACAGATAAAACATTTGTTACATTTCGTCACTTTCTAAATGGCCTTGTGTGCTCATCAGATAGGAAAGACACTTTGACTACACCAGCTACCAAGACTGGTTACAGTATAGTGGCTACAGTACTGCATTGTGGATTTCTGTAACATTTTGTGTTCGTTCGTCATGATGCCATGTTTGAGTTACATCAACCCAACAGCAATGTTATACAGTATTTACCACTCAGGTTTGTGTTCTCATCAACTTGTTTCACTTCGTTCAAGTACATGGGTCTGCAAACCAGTAATGATGATAACGGTAAATCTGGGATTCGAACCCTCAATCGCAGGAGCAAGTGTCAACCATGGACAACGGGTTAAACTATGCATCAAGGATGTACCACCATAACCACTCAGTATCGCATATCATGTACCGCTCCGGGGTTTTTTAGTGGCAACTACAACGACTGCGCTACTGTGCAGGGAGCGTGTGACTTGGAATTTTACACTGCTTTGGGTTACTGCAGTATTTCATTATTACACTGAGGGAACTATTATAGCTGCCATTAGTTTATGGATTTTCGATTTGTAAAATGTGATATCCTTGCACGGAATATGTAAATGCGATTATGTGTTTTTTATTTATTGAATAAAAGAGAACATAACTCTAACCTTTCGCCATTCTGAGAACATGAACCATAAGAATTTGTTCTCTGGAAAGACAATTTTGTATACAAATATGCTTACACCAAACAGTAAGATTATTGGGGCACAATTCTGGTAAGTGAGTTCTGCGTAATGGAGCTTTAACATTACTAAGTATATCACTGCGTGTAAACTTACAGTTACATGTGGCTGATACATTGGTATCTCATCGTAGTTAGTGAGCCGGGACAACGGAAAGGAATAGCAAAGCGAACAAGTGTATTGGCCTATTACTGTAGTTGGTTGTATACACAAGTTTGTTGTTTAAAGCGAGTGAGCAGATAATCGAGTCTGGACCAGACAGCCAAGTGATCAACGGCATGATCATAAATCTACGCAGCTGAGATACAATGTCAACCAAGTCAGCGAGCCTGACTATCCGATCCCGTTAGTCGCCTTTTACGACAAGCATGGGTTAGGAAGACCAATTCTAACCCGGATCTACACGGGTATCAGTAGGTGGTTTCCAAATATGGCCGTACTGTGCATACATATAACACGTGCTTACTGAATATGCTATTTGCTGTTTACAATTGCTGGATAGTGCCTACTTTTGTGTCATCTGCTAGCTGGTGTAAATGGAGGCAGTTGGTAAGGCCTGGGCCTGCCCATGTGGAATATACACTGTCAAACCATTTCTGGTGCCATCCGTCGTGATGATGGTGGAATATTGCCAATATTGCCGGTATAAAACCATATTCACTCAATCACCTAATTTCTAATTGTTACGTTAACAGGCCTACCAAAGAAAACTTTCCCACTGTGTTTATGTTGTGGAAATAGCAACATAAACATAATATTACCTCGCTACTGAAACAGTAAAAACGACAACGAAAGACTATAAAACCGCAACATTTTTATATCAGCGAACTTTGACCTCTACTGCGCATGCGCGTTAAGATCTGACCTGGAAAACTATTTCCGAGCAACCGTGAATTGCCTCGCCTAGAAAAAGAATTGAATATGTCGAAATAATTGTTGTCAATCTTTTCATACGAATGGAAAGCAAATTAAACAAGTGTGCACAGATGTATCACGGTGATAAATGCCAAATAGCAAAACAGAAATACTTTGAAAAGGGAATGTAACTTTTGTCCAAGCTGGAAAATGTCAACATGCGATCGAGACTTCCTCTTCCATGTGCGCATGCGGTAAAATCGAAGTTGCAGGCCCTTCGTTTTTTTATCCGGTTTTAGCGATTTAAAGTTGCCGTTTTTACTGTTACAGTAGCGAGGTATTATGTTTATGTTGCTATTTCCACGATTAATGTGGACTTTTCTGCACTTTTCTGCACAGTGGGAAAGTTTTCTTTGGTAGGCCTGGTTAACAATGTATAGTGCAATGTGGTCAATCAGTACTTTGGGGACGGTGGGGTAGCCTAGTGGTTAAAGCGTTCACTCGTCACCCTGAAGACCATGGTCCGATTCCACACATGGGTAAATATGTGCAGCCCATTTCTGGTGTCCCCCACTGGAATATTGCTAAAAGCTGTAAAACCATATTCGCACTCGTTGACGATCCCGTTATTTGTTGCACTATCAATATCGTTTAACAGATCAACTCAGTAGAATGTCACAAGAGACGGAATCAAATCAAAGAAATGGTAGGATTTTAGGCGCCACAGAGAATTACGCGTTTATACGATACTCTATTGGAGATGCGGATGTACTTGTTGACATCATCAATCAACAAATCAAAGCCTGACGAAGAAAGAAGCAATCCATTGTTCACGCTTGTTTGTCACCACTCAGTGTAAACATGAATATCACGTACATTTTCATCTTTAAAGAACCTTGATTTATTATTTAGCATACATTAAGACTTCAGGCATGGTTTACACTGGGCCGCTAAAATGACTCTTTCAGTATTGTAGAGCGGACAGTGTGTACTTGACCTCAATCCATTGTGCAATGTCCAGAGAGAGTCAATAGGTAACCCATATACCGACATTGGGCTTACACTATGTCATGTAGGCCAATGTTGATGTCTATCTTTTTGTTGTGTATTTAAGGATAACTTGGACTCTCCATTAGGGAACGAACTTGGGGGTAATGGTGATTGTGATTCGCCATTTTGGCAAGAATCCAGGGCACATTACGGCGGGATAGAATTGGTTTCTCACAGAGTACCACTACACAGAATCAAGCCTTGTTTAGTGATTAAGTGAGTGTGTTTAGATTTTTTAACACCACTTCTAGCAATATCACAGTGGGGGACACCAGAAATGGGGCTTCACACATTGTACTCATGTGGGGAATTGAAACCTGGTCTTCGGCGTGACGAGCCAAATCTTTAATCACTAGGCTTCCCCGTCGCCACTCCGGCCTTTTTTATGTGTGACGAGCGTACGATATACGACTTGGCTACCCAGCTACCCCTAATGTAAACCCTTTGATTGGAAGGTGGCTGTAGAGTGATCTTATCCCTTTTTGTTTGGAACAGGGTGGGATTTGGGTAAAAGCTGGCAGATATTTCTCAAAACAAATTGCAGAATTAGGCATATAAAATGTTAGTCCATAATGTATATACAATTCATCTATTTTTTTCTGATACATCCGTATGTATATACACACGCGCACATACACACGCACGAACGCACGCATGCACTTTTTAACACGACGTTAAATACCATTTCACCAATACTAGTTGTGACGCTTTTAGTAGTGCAGTTGTTACAACACTAGTGTGCATTGTTACAACTACAGACCCGTGAAGGGCCGGGTTAGAATATTGATCTTCAGTAACCCATGCTTGTCGTAAGAGGCGATTGACGGGATCGGGTTGTCAGGCTCGCTGACTTTGTTGACACATGTCATCGGTTCCTAGTTGCGCAGATCGATGCTCATGCTGTTGATCACTGGAGTGTCTGGTCTAGACTCGATTATTTACAGACCGCCGCCATATAGCTGGAATATTGCTGAGTGCGGCGTAAAACTAAACTGACTCACTGTTACAACTATTGCGATAGTTCGATAAATACACGTACTGCCCTCCAATCTCTCGTTATGCAGCATCATGAACAACACAAACACTTCGGCCACGTCCGAGGTACAACAATGTCCTTGGAACGTTATCTCTGGTTATTGTCTCAGATCTAACAAGGAATGTTTTTCCAATCGATACCGATATGTGTACTTTGGATAAAAATGAATTATCTAAAACAAATAAGGTAAATGATTTTTTCGTTTTGTTCAGTCTGTCAACACTGATCGTCTAGCATGGGTCTGTGTGAAGTATTGATGTATTTAGGTCAGTACACATACAATTTAGATGCATCGACAGGTCGATAATTCAATACATCGTTAACCAACACCTATGTTGATTTTACATTGAATACGTACTTGTCATGTTCATACTGCCAGGTTGAAGCATTAAAAGTACAAACAATTTATTGATTATCTGACCACACTGAATGAACTATGTGAGTGTCGTATGCTCACTGAACTCGAGGCCCTTAACCATATGTTGCTCGATATCAAAGTGTACCCGACCCGTGAAGATCCGGGTAGAATAGGTTTTCAGCAACCCATGCTTGCCACAAAAGGCGACTATGCTTGTCGTAAGAGGCGACTAACGGGATCGGGTGGTCAGGCTCGCTGACTTGGTTGACACATGTCATCGGTTCCCCATTGCGCAGATCGATGCTCATGCTGTTGATCACTGGATTGTCTGGTCCAGACTCGATTATTTACAGACCGCCGCCATATAGCTGGAATACTGCTGATTGCGACGTAAAACTATACTCACTCACTCAAAGTGTACCGAATGTGGCTTAACCAGAAAACGAATATTTCTCCCATCCTCTTCTCTGAACGATAATCCGCGAGCATGAAAGGTATCCATTTGTGGTTTACAGTCTTCCCCTAGATATTACGCTGGTAACGGAATAGCCGAGTGGATCTGAATGTCACGTTCACGGAAAAGGTTTTACACAGTAGCTGCCCCTGGACTAGACTAAGGCTTAGTCTCTGAATACATATAATTTGGATTGAGACAAATAGACCCACTTAAATTGAAAAGGAGCCCCAGGGAGACCAGAGATTCAGAGTGAGGAAATCTAGACTTGCTTCATTTGGGGCTTTAACATTGCAGTGAGGGCTAGGCAGCAGGGAAAATAATATAGTTCAGGGACTATGAGACATACTACCCTGGACCGACTTATGAGATTCTGCATTCAAAATATCAAAAGGTAACTGTAAAGACATACATGCTGACATAAATGCCATAGTAATTACTAAATACGGAAAAATCCATATATTCTATATATCCAAACAGTATCAGATTTACAGTTACACCTCGCTAATCCAAACAGTGTGTGACCCGTGAAGGTCCGGGCTAGAATGAACCTTCAGTAACCCATGCTTGTCGTAAGAGGCGGCTAACAGGATCGGGTGGTCAGGTTCGCTGACTGGGTTGACACGCAAACCGAAACCTGAGTCTCATTAACCTATTCAGACAATGACCTACTTTTCAGCAGATCCGTCACAATGATTCACAATGCATCTGGCTCACTGGTTACACCTGTTATGTGGCTTTTGCGCTTATTCAGGGTAGTTCTGTAACGCACAATGTGATTGATATAATATCAATTCCGCCAAACTTTTCTAGCGGCGGAGCCTCGTTTTGAGATTACCACGATTTTAGTCAGGGCTCGCTGTACGACAGAGCACGCTGAACGACGTGTTTGCAAGGATTAGAAGGAGCATAGTGTTGCAATATACAAGTGCTTAGATGTATCAAATAATACTGATTAATATGTATGTATCCAGTTAAAAGAATTGGTCTCAAAATTCTGGACTAGTTATTGTACTAAGTTGCACAATAGGACGGAACCCAGTCAACAGGAAACGAGACTGTTCTGTAATCAATGTTTTGACTTGATCATCGGTTCCCCATTGCGCAGATCGATGCTCATGCTGTTGATCACTGGATTGTCTGATCCAGCCTAGATTATTTACAGACCGCC